CAGGGGATGCAGCTTCAAACTGATTCTCTTGTACACCGTAGACAATAACTAACAGTATTTCTACAGTCTCTGAAATGTGCAGTCCACGATTGTGGCATGCAATGGAAGCATGTTTAAACGATGATTAGGTCCCAGCTATTTACAAGACAGAACCATGTTTTAACCCCGCTGAGGATAACGATGTTGTAAATTCACCCCGGATAAGGCTGGGGGTTTTGTACTGCAGATGGCTCACCTGTGAACAAGCTTTGGGTGGCAGGGGTCTTTTTTTTTATAATCTATCTATAATACACTTCAGTGGAGCTACAGCAATTGCCGCCTCCCTTAGTAGTAATAATTTTAATATTTAATGTGGGGCCATGGCCCCTTACTGTTGGACTGACATCTGACCATCTTTCCAATGGTAGCCCTCCATTAACTCATTTTCTTCTCAAGTTTGTGAAGGAAGGACCTTTTCATTTGAAAGCTCCTCTTTTGGCAACTCATACAAAGCTCTGTATGTTTTTTCCAGGATAGTCTTTGCTTATAGTTTGCTCCTCATTAATCAGCTTCTGGAAAACAGAGACTGCCCCTCTGTGCAGCAATTTAGCTTTGACAACAGCTTCATGTTGCTCTGTCTTTAAATGCTCCCTGGTCACGCTCTTTCTCACTCTGCACAAAGGCTGTGTGCTCCACCCTTTAGATTTGTTGTAGCAATTATTAAAAAGCTTCATTCCTTGTACTTAGAAGATGGCAACATAGGTTATAAATTTTTTAAATTATAAATTAATGGAGATATCCTATCTCCTAGAACTGGAAGGGACCTTGAAAGGTCATTGAGTCCAGCCCCCTGCCTTCACTAGCAGGACCAAGTACTGATTTTGCCCCAGATCCCTAAGTGGCCCCCTCAAGGATTGAACTCACAACCCTGAGTTTAGCAGGCCAATGCTCAAACCACTGAGCTATCCCTCCCCCTAAAAGTAAGCACCTTCATCCTAGCCAGTGAGCAAAAGATATTTGGATTAGCAGCCAATCTTCTGAGCAAGAAAGACAGGCAAGTGTACATCACACACATGCTATACACCTTGCCCTGGTACCTCAGCCAATTTTGGATATATCTCAAGTTGCTAATATTTATGGCCCTTAAAGGGCTAGAAGCCAGGCAGTCTTGAGACTTCTGAGGAGGGGGGGAAGAGTGTTCTCTGCACCATTGGTTGTTGATCGGAATAAGCTCAATCCTCATCATTTTCAGAGCTAGTCACAAAAGCCTTCCCCTAATGAGAGTTAAAGAAAACTCAGTATCATTTCTCATGGCCAGGTGACTATGAGGAGGAGATGGGAGAAGATAAAAATATCTCTAAGTAACAGCAGCTGGTCGTTGATGAACAAATGCACTGAAACTCTTAATAATATGTCTGGTACAGAAAGACCACAGTAGTGGGCATGTGAGAAATACTATAGATTAGGCAAAAGAATCACACCAATGTTTTAAATGCTTGGGGCATCACTAGAGCTCACTTAAGCTACTCTCTTGTTAACTGCAGCCCCGTGGGCTCTGTGGTTATGCCATAGAGACAACACTGAAAAGGGCTGTCAGGTAAATTGCACTGGAGAGATTGTTGCAATCTGTATATTCCCAAGGCTGAGTTGGGGGCTACAAGAGTGAGGATGTGGGCGGGGCATACATAGCTTCATATCTGCACGAGAGCTGGGGGGAGCAGAAAGAAGCAGCTCTCGGATGGGATCAACTGGAGAAGGGTTTGATAGCTGATTGCCCCGTTAAAACTCCATTTGTGGAGACAGGGTGAGAGGCATGAAGATGAAAGACATTATCTTTGGCTAGCATGAATAGGAAGACAGAGGATTAGTAGCCATATGCCAGCAAGTTAATTGCTTGAACTCTGCTATCCACCTACCACACATCTCTCTAATAGTGAACAAAATGTTCTGTATGCAGCCTGTCCAATCAGTAAAGTGATTTGGGATAAAGCGTACACTATAAATGTGTCCTCATTATTAGAGATAATTTCTTCCTGTTTCTGTGGCACTTCACTGAAGCAAACTGTGGAACAGGCAGGCCCACTGACAGCAATTCCAGGCCCCAGGGCAGAACAGTCAATGGGCCCCAACGCACGCACAAGTTGCGCCCGCGTGGACGCGGTCCACCTGACATTTGGGCGGTGCTGCGCCTGCGCTGGCTGGTGCCCAGCAAGCTGCTGGCATGGTCAGGGCTTCCACCTGCCCACCCGGTAGGGTTGCCGACTGTCTAATCGCGCAAACCCAAATACCTTTGCCCCGCCCCCTGTCCTATCCCTTCCCTGAGTCCACGCCTCTGTCCTGTCCCTTCTCCGAGGCCCTGCCCCTTGCTCACTCCATTCCCCCCTCCCTCCATCGCTGGTTCTCCCCCACCCTCACTCACTTTCACCAGGCTGGGGCAGGAGGTTGGGCTGCGGGAGTGGGTGCGGGGTGCAGGCTCTGGGAAGGAGTTTGGGTGCAGCAGGGGGTGCGGGGTACAGGCTCTAGGAAGGAGTTTGGGTGCGGGAGGGGGTGTGGGGTTGGGCTTTGGGAGGGAGTTTGGTTGCAGGGTGTGGACTCTGCACTGGGGCAGGGGGTTGGGGTGAAGGAGGGAGTCAGGGGGTCGGCACTCACCTCGGGCGGCTCCCGAAAGCGACTGGCATACCCCTCTGGCAGTGGCTCCTAGACGGGGACCCATGAGGTCTGCACACGCCGCTGCCCGCAGGCATCATCCCTGCAGCTCCTATTGGCTGCAGTTCCTGGCCAATGGGAGCTGCATAGTCGGTGCTTGGGGTGGGGGCAGCGTGCGGAGACCCCCTCCCCAGTGACCGCAGGGACGTACCAGCAGCTTCCGGGAGCGGTGCGCAGCAGCAGAGCGAGGGCAAGCAGGAAGCCTGCCTTAGCCCCGCTGCGCTGCTGGCGGTGATGGCCGAGGGCCGCCCCAGGCCTTTTTAAATCGTCTGGGCTCCTGGGCAATTGCCCCCTTTCTCGCCTCCTCCCAATCTTTACTGTATTTATCCTCACAACATCCCTGCAGTAGGCCAGCACCATTATCCCCATCGTACAGGGGGGGAACAGGGGCACAGTCAGACTAAGGGATTTGCTTTAGTCACACAGGGAGTCTGTGGCAGAGGTGGGAGCTGAAACAGATTTGCCAAGTCCCAGGCTATTAGGAAGTCCTCCTCAACCCTTTATCTTTCTGAAATAGATATACTGAGGGTACATCTATACTAGGAATGCGACAGTGGCACAGCAGCAGCTGCGTTACTGTAGCATCCACACTTTCTACAGTGATGGAAAGGGTTCTTCTGTCGCTGTAATAAATCCACCTCCCGAAGAGGCAGTAGCTAGGTTGATGGAAGAATTCTTCTGTCGGCCAAGCAGTGTCTACACCATGGTGGAGGTCAGCTTAATTACACTGCACAGGGCATGACGGTTTTTTCATAGTGCTGATTGATGTAGATAAGCCAATCTAACTTTCTAGTGTAGACCCAACCTGCTGAGTTCCATGCATGGTGGCTCTGTCTCAAATAACTCTTAGAAGCAATTCTGTCACTGCTCCAAGTGGCCAACAAAGACCCTGTGGCACTTTTTGCAGGACCAGGCTTTTGCCCTAGGGTTCTTGGTCTACAATTAATTCCCTTCCCTCCTACAGCGTGCTCTGCTTGTGCAGTGAGCAGGTGCTTTCCGCAGTGGCAGCTCCATATATAACACGTGGCGCACTCTGAGCGGCCCAAAAAGGAGCCATACAAGGTGTTTATCTAAAATATGTTTATATGTAAAACTGTTGTAAAGGATTGAAAATGGAAACAAAACATTTCCACTGCCCTGCCACGCATTTTTGGAGGGGAATTTCATCTCATACTTTTTTTAAAAAAAATTTTGGCTCTTTGGTCCCGATCCCCGATTAATTTTAGTTGAAAATCTCAACATTTTCCCTGTGACGAAAAATCCACTTTCCGCCCAACTGTCCATGCTGGGGTACCCGTGGCGGGGAGAACGGAGCAGACACCGAGAGCGAAAACGTGCCACAACATCCTGCTAGGGCAGTGGTTCCCAAACTTTAACAACCTGTGAACCCCTTTCACCAAAATGTCAAGTCTCGCGAACCCCCTCCTAAAAATGAATATTTCCAGGGATTTTCTCTTTTACCTGAGTATAAATTATAAAAGCAGTGCTCTTGGAAATATAAAATTTGTTTTTATGACATGCTTATAACACACTATTATTAATTATTATTTATCATTGCACTATTTTATTACATTTTGAAAATGGCAACACTCTTCCAAGATCTCACTTTCGTAGCTTGTATCACTTTGAATAAGCTTGTTATAAGACAAAGCTCCTATGTTTCATCAAGAAGTATCAGATGTGAAACAGCATGAAGGTATCTAAGAAGCCAACTCAAAGAGTTCCTCTTACACAAGCATTCAGGTCTTGAGCAGTTCAGGCAAACAACACACGTTACAACAAAGCTTAAACTTGTTCTTAATAATTTTAAAACCAATACCAGCTGCCTATTTAATTTTAAAAATAGCAAAAAATATCCACCTCCCTTTCCATTTCTTATAAGGAGTCTTGAAATTTAAATCTCCTCAGTGTGATAGAGATGCTTGCTTTGATCTGCTTAGTTCTTGGAAGTCCAGGGCTGCTGGCCTCGGGCTGCTGGTCCCTAGGAATAGCTCTGTCTGCCATTAGGGAATTTTTTCCTGAGAACCCCCTGTAACATTTCGTGAACCCCCAGGGGTTCACGAACCCCAGTTTGGGAACCACTGTGCTAGGGGCTTATAGTGAGCCAGGCGGAGGCGCATGCGCAGCCCGACACCTGTATCCAGGGGAGCCAAGGGAAGGCAGCGCATGCGCTCTTGTCTCCTGCTCGGGAGGGAGGAGGACGAGGTAGTGGCCCCCTGCGCGCTCTCTATGCGCCGGGTGCGTGCAGGGGAACGGTTGTTTCTACGCATGCGCCACATGCGCAGTGTGTCATCCTGGTCGCGGCGAATTCCTCGCGCTGAGGTGAGTGAGTCTCGGCGCCCGGGGCCGGCGGAGCTGAGGGGGGCGGACACCCCGGACTTGGCTGCCTCCGCCTCCGGGGCTCGCCGTGTCACTGCGGCGCGGCTCCCCAGCCTGGCCTGCCCTGGCGCCCTGCCTGCGAGAGCGCGGCTCCCGCTGGGCCCCGGCCCGCCCGCCTGGGCCCATCGCCCCGCGGGGCCGTGCTCGCGCCGAGGATGCCCACGGAGACAGCGCGCCCGCCGGGCGGGTCGCACGAGCGGAGCCCTGGGGCCGCTGCGAGCGATCCGGGTCCGAGCAGCGATGGGGAAGCGGGGACTGCCCAGGGGACGGGCCCGTGTGACAGCGACCTGGAGGGCAGCCCTGGAGCTCCGGCCTCCGAGAATGGCCCCTGCGGCTCCTCCGGGGTTCCTTCGCGGGAGCCCCCCCGGACGGGACAGCCGCTGTTACACATTGACAGGCAGCAGATCCAGTCCGTGGCGCCCAGTGCCCAGATTGCTGAGCTGAAAGGTCTGGGGGTTGACGTGTACGACCAGGATGTGCTGGAGCAAGGAGTCCTCCAGCAGGTAGACAATGCAATCAATGACGCGAACAAGGCGACAAAATTAGCCAATGCAGAGGCAGAATACCAATCGGTGCTGGACGATTTAAGGTAAGTTTACTACTTTTAAACACATGTGGTACCCAGTAATAAAAGTTTGTTGAATCATAGATGTAAGCGATGGAAATAATTATGTATCGCTCACTTCACCATCAGATGTCAAAACAGTTGTTAGTTGAATCCTTATTTTCATTATACAGGTGGAGAACATGAAACACATACAGGTATATGTTAAATGATTTACCTGAGGTCATCTACCTAATCAGTGGCAGAATAAGGGAATAGAACCCTGGTTTCCTGATTTCGAATCTGGTGTCTTGTCCACTAGCCCATACTGCCTCCCACCAAGTCATCTTATCCCTCTTCTGACCAGCCAGTGCAGGATTGTCCCATGCAATATGTTGCAAGGTTTATTGTAAATCCAAGTGGAGTTATGCTTGGAGAAGTGACCCTGTAAAAATAGCACCATGTTATGAGCTTCATATGGTCTGTATGATCCCATAACTGGTGGATCACAGAACAAAGCATCTTGTCACAAGCTCTTGTAACAATATTTAGGAAATCTGCCCTATAAAAATCAGAAGCTAAAGTGGTATGTAATCAGTAAGGTCTAGAGCAGTGGTTCTCAAAGCCAGTCCACCGCTTGTTCAGGGAAAGCCCCTGGCGGGCCAGGCCGGTTTGTTTACCTGCCGCGTCCGCAGGTTCGGCCGATCGCATCTCCTACTGGCCGCGGTTCGCTGCTCCAGGCCAGTGGGGGCTGCTGGAAGCGGCGCGGGCCAAGGGATGTGCTAGCCGCCCTTCCCGGAGCCCCCATTGGCCTGGAGCGGCGAACCGTGGCCAGTGGGAGCCACGATCGGCCGAACCTGCGGATGCAGCAGGTAAACAAACTGGCCCGGCCCGCCTGGGGTTTTCCCTGGACAAGTGGCGAACCGGCTTTGAGAACCACTGATCTAGAGGAATGGGACTAAAGCTTGGTATACATTAGCACTTTTGTTGGTAAAACTTTTGTTGGTCAGAGGTGTGGGAAAAAAACAAACCCTGACCAACATAAGTTTCACCAACAAAAGTGCTGTAGTGGACAGCGCTGTGTCGGCAGGAGATGTTCTCCCACCGATGTAGCTACCGCCAGTCTTTTGGGGATGGTTTAATTATGCTGACGGGAAAGATCTTTCCCGTCAGCATAGAGCGTCTACACAGGAGACCTTACAGCTGCGCGTACCACTGTAAGGTCTGTAGTGTAGACATATCCTAAGAGGCATGAACTCCTGAACTTTAATCCTAGCTTGCTTCACAGTGTCCAACTCAGCCATTGACTTACTGCGTGATCTTGGACATCTCATTTAACCTCTTAATTCTTTAGTTTCTCTGTTTTTGCATTATTGTTGTTTTACAGTGCCAGAGAATTGTTCCTTTACAGTGCATCACAATACGTATAAGACAGCTCTCAAAGAGCTTAGAAAACTTTATGCACCTGACTCATCCTTTTGACATCAGGGAATCTATTCATACATGAAGTTAAGAGGATGCATAAGAGTTCACTGAAATTAGGCCCTAATCTTTCAGTGATGGAGCAAAAGGTGGTAGTGGGTACACGGGGGTTGACAGGAAGAGTGGGGCAAAATCAATAAGATAATGCATTTACTCTTTCAAGTCTGGTGCACAGCATGGGGAATAAACTTTTCATAGAAATGTAGGGCTGGAAGGAATTCGTTAGGTCATCTAGTCCAGCCCCCTGTGCTGTGGCAGGACCTAGTGTACCAACACCATCCCTGACAGGTGTTTGCTTAAACTGTTCTTAAAAACTCCAGTGATGGGAATTCCACAACCTCCCTTGGAAGCCTGTTCCAGTGCTCAACTTTCCTCATAGTTGGAAAGCTTTTCCCAATATCTAACAATAATCTCCCTTGCTGCATATTAAGCCCATTAGTTTGTGTTTTACCTTCAGTGAACCTGGAGAACCACTGATCATTGTCTTTATAACAGTCCTTAACATATTTGAAGACTGTATCAGGTCTCCCCCGCCCCCCCCCAGTCTTCTTTTCTCAAGACTAAACATGCCCACTTTTTTTACCCATTCCTCATAGGTCAGGTTTTTTAAACCTTTTATCATTTTTATTGCTCTCCTCAAGACTCTCTCTATCCTATATGTCCACGTTTCTTAAAGTGTGGTGGTGCCCAAAACTGGACACAGTACTACTCCAGCTGAGGCCTAACTAATGCTGAGTAGAGCAGGACTGTAACCGTCTCCTGTAACCATCTCCAGTAACACCCCAGAATATTAGTCTTTTTGCAATTGCATCACATTGATGACTCATTCAATTTGGGATCCACTATTTTTTCTTAGTTGCATGTGCATGTCACAGAAGAAATGGTCTTTAAGAGGGATTTAAATGAGGAAAGATGAGTAGTCTTTTCAGACTAGTTAACAAAGAGTGTTTTTACGTGTATGAAGCTGCTTGCAAGACAATGTGGTGATGGCTGTGGAGAAAGTAAGCAAATGGGACATGAAGTCTTGGACCACTGGCAGACTGGAAGGGTCAGGGACAATGAGAGAAGAGATGCATGTAAGCTGAGAGGGAGAGGGTTGGTCAGGGTCCTGGAAAGTCAAAAAATAAATGTTAAACTTGATGTGGTGGTGGAAGGGAGTGAATGAAAGATTCAGATAGTGATATATCAGGATCAGAATGACAGAACCCAAGGATAATCATAGTAGCTGCATTTTTGCATGAACTAGAAGGGGGTGATGCAGATATCAGGGAGGTATAGTATGAGGTTCTTGTAAACAAGATGAGAGGTGACCAGGGCCTCAAGGAGAGTTCTAGTTGTGTAGACAGAGAAAAAAGGGGGATTTAAGTGATGTTACAAAGGAAGCAGCAGCAAGATTTGGAGATGGCCTATTTAAAATTTGGAGATTTCCTGATATGGAGTTAGTAGATGTATGGGGCTGTGTATAGGAAAGAGTCAAAGATCACATGTGGGTTACAGACCTTAGTTATAGAGTATATGATGGTGTGTTCAACCAGGGTGGGCAAACTACGGCCTGCGGGCCATATCTGGCCCCTCAGGGCTTTGGATCCGGCCCGCAGGATTGCCCCCCTTGGCGCCGCGGGCCCCGCGCCGCTCTCCGCAGCGGCCGGCCCAACGTCCCTGCGGCCGCCGGGGCCTTGCCTCCAGGCACCGCCCCCGCAGTTCCCATTGGCTGGGAACAGGGAACTGCGGCCAATAGGAGCTTCGGAGGAGGAACCTGGAGGCGCGGCAAGGGCAGCGAACGCGGAGCCCTTCGCTCCCCCTCCCCCAGGGACTGCAGCGCTTCCTGGAGCAGGGCTGGAGACAGGGCAGGCTTGCAGGGAGCCTGCCCTGGCCCCGGTGCGCGCTGCTGCCACCCTGGAGCCTGAACCCCTCCTGCATCCCGCCCCCCAACTCCCTGCCCTGAGCCCCCTGCCACACCCTGCACCCCTCCTGCACCCCAACTCCCTGTGCTTCCTGCTGCACCCCTGTGCACCCCAACCCCCTGCCCTGAGCCCCCTGCTGCACCCCACACCCCTCCTGCACCTCAACCCCCTGCCCTGAGCCCCCTCATACACCCCGCACCCCCTCCCACACCTCGCACTCCCTCCTGCACCCCAACCCCCTACCCCGCCCCGCATACAATTTCCCCACCCAGATGTGGCCCTCGGCGCAGAAAGTTTGCCCACCCCGGTCTAGAAGATTCCATCAGAGGTCCTTAGTTTTGCAGTTCTCAGACTGTGGATTTGTGTCTCCAGAGGTAACATGCTTGTTAACAGCAAAAATATATATAAATAAATAATATATAGAGGTGAGAAATAACAGACCTCAACTCTATTGTCCCTCTGCAAATTTGTGTACACAGAGTCAATCCCTTACCTCCCTCTAAAAGTGCAAAGTTTCAAAAAGTTCAATGAATAGAAGATTGTTGGGGGCGGAATAGATCTGGACAAGGAGAAGAAGTCTGGAGATAAATGTGAGAAGTGAGGGACATATGTTTGTTTTGTTAAAATATTATATGTTTGCTGTTGAAGAAAAAAATCTAGAATACTTAACGTTGTTGTTTTAGTTAAATAAAACAATTTAAATGTCTGTCTGGTGATGTTCTCCTCCTAATACAGCATGGCAAGAAAATCCTCCAAATATTAATGATTAACCTGTTGAATTGGAGATAGTTCACCTCCCAATGACTTCATAAATATCTGCTTCAATTACTTTTGGTAAATGAAATAACGAAACAATCATTCATTTTCTGATATAGCTGTAAAACTAATCTGAAAAGTTTTCAAAATAAATCACTGTTTAAAAATGTATAGTGTGTACCTTCTAAAAATGAAACCTACATCTATCTCTGAGTTGTGAAGAATATGTATTAAGGTTATAACAACCAACAAGAATGCACTTTTATGTAGAAAACTATGATTAAATTGAGTCTTCCTGACTAGTGATTTAAATCATGAATTAAATCAATTTGATTTAAATCAAATCCACCCTGTGTTCAACAGTAACAGAAGAGAGGGAGTGGAGAGAGTTTTGGAAAAAAGACAAAGTTCAGTTGTGACCATGTTAAGTTTTTAAGTCAAAAGTGATAGAAAAGATATCCAGGAGGAGATGTCAGAGAGAGCATGAAGTGAGTGACTGGATGGCTTCAGACAAGTTAGGAGTAAGAGGCAGATGTTTGAGTTGTCAGCTTTGATGTCAGAGCTACAGTAGTTGAAGCTATTTGATCAGATGAGATCACACAAAGAAAAAGGTGTAGAAGGAGAAGAGGAAGTGACCAAGGTTATAGTACTGTAGGACTCCAGAAATGGGAGAAGGAAGCAGGAAGATTTGTAAAAAGACCTTGAAGGAATGGCCAAAAAAATAGGAGGAGAACTAGGGAAAAGGACAGTTGCAAAATCAATAGAAGAACAACGTGATGAGAAGGGAGGCATGATCTAAAGTGTTTAAAAAACAGCAGAGAAGTCAGGGATAGTGAGGATGGAGTAAAAGCCCTGAGACTTGGTGAGGCATAGGTCATAACTCAGTGGAGCAGCAGAGGGTGGAATCTAAATTAGAGTAATACGTTCCAAGGTCAAAAGGGATCATTGTGATAATCTAATCTGACCGCTGAATAATGTAACATATATAACTGTATAACGTATAACTTCCCCAAAATAATAAATAAGAAGGGAGCGGGGATGGGTTTGGAGGAGACGAATTCAAAGCAATGATTTTTAACTGCTTTCTTGATGACTTTGGAGTTGAAGGGAAAGGGAGATGTGGTTGAAGGCAGGTCTTTGGAGCGGAGCCCGGAGCTGGAGCGCGGAGCAGTAGAGCTGCAGGTTTTTGCCTGGAGATGGAGCAGAGCTGGAGCAGAGCTCCAAAGCTCTCGTTGAAGATGTGTTGGTTCTGAGAATAGGAAAGACTACACTGTGCTTAGCCATTATCCTCATTTTACGGATGAACATCTCCCAGTCACAGGGGTTGTGACTATTTCACATTTACATAGCACTTTTGAGATGCAAAGCTGTGCATCAGGATGATGTATTTATTCTACCATTAGAACTTGCAGATGTGACAGAGGCTGATACAGGACCCACACATAAGGGTGGACATAGGAGGGGCACATTTAGTGGGAGTAGACATCCATGAAGATGTTTTCACTAGTACGTTCCACCCCAAACCTAAGTAATAGCAGAAAATGTGATGGAAAAAGCATGGCTTTTCACAATGCATTTGCCGCACGTGCTGTGGATGGCAACAGCGAATTATGATTCTCCTTTAAAAACACATTGTAGCACTCATTTCATTCAACAGAGACCACTTTGCAAGAGTAAATGTGAATTTATCCACAGTGTGTATGTCCTCAAAGAAACTCTTCTGGCCCCTTGCTATTTAGCTAGTAGGGCCTCGAACCGTGTGAAACTCATTCTTCATCTGTTTGCACGTTTGTTCATGTAATTTCTGATTACATTCCAAAGAGACCTCTGTTTGTTGCATCAGCGTCTGATGGTTTGATTTCTGTTTGGCCTAATATCAGCATCTAAAAATATCACTCAGTCTTGCATTGTTATATAAATGAGCTAGCTGGCAGACTAGTCATGCAGCAAGTTACAAGTGTGAAAATAGGGATAGATAGAGAGAGAAGCTTGCTTCTTTAACGTATATTTAAAAGTCCATTCTCTTCACCACCATTTGTTTGGGCTGGTATGCTTTCCTTGGCATTTCTGATTGTTAATTTGAATGGTAATGTATTATCACATTCTGTAGTTGGTCCAAAGGTATCAGTGACATCATGTATTGATGTTGTACACAATGGAGAAAAGAAGAACGCAGTATCTTATATTCAAAAAATGTTAGTTTTACCTCTTGTCTGTAGCAAATCAGTACAGTTGGCGCTTTGTGCTGTCTTTTCTATTGATGAGGCATCCCTCTCCCCCCCCCCCCCCCCAATTTTGACAGATCATGCAACAGTCATTAAATGGTGACACTTTTTGGTTTCTGTTCGTCTGGGCTTTACGTGAGGCAGTGGCTGCTTATATATAAGAATTTGAATAAATATAGTGGCCTAGGCATGAAAGGTTCAGTAGTACTGTACCTTCTTAAAATTATTTTACAGCACAATACAAAAATAATTTTATCTGTTAAATTAAAGGGATACTAAGGTTAAAATAAGATTTAAAATAAATGCCCATACAATGTAATTTCTTACTATAGATTATTAAAACAGATTTAAAAAAGAAACCCAACTCGTTCACCACTTAGACTTATTTCTTGTGCTTCTCTACCTTGGATAATAAAAGTAGGTTGGCCAGTTTCACTTCCTGGTAGAGCCCTGCACGGAACTATTCTTTAATCCCACTCCTGCTATTATGGCAGCAGGTCCTGCAGGACCCGTAGGATCCCAGTCCCACTGCAGGGCTCTACTTCCTGGTAGTCATTCATTAGCAGAGTTGTAATTATTGAGTTCCAAATACTACAATGGGTTGTTTGTATTTGAACAGAACTGTTTAACATTTTAAAAACTAGCCTTTGTAAAATTCAAAGGCCAAGAAAATCAGCATACTTATTTAGAAATCCAACTTTAGCCTTCTGTTTGTTAAAGTCTTGGCTATAATTTTTAGGTTTAAACTATCTGAGTTGAAAATGTCATGTACTTACTCTTCTCATTATTACAACTGAGTGTACTAAATGAACATCTTTTTATTTTTCAGGTCCTGTACGACATCTCTGAAACAGATCAATACAATTATAGAGCAACTTACTCCTCAAGCTGTCAACAGCAAAGATATAAACAGAAAACTAGACTCTGTAAAACGACAAAAGTATAACAAGGTGACTGGAAAAAATTAACTTTGGATTGCTTAAGGCGCTGATCCTGTGTCAGGCTTCACACTTGAGGATCCTGATAAAGGGTCAGAGTCAAAACTTGCAGTTTCTTCACCATTTTAACAGTTTGTTTTTTCACCAAAGGCTATAAGAACTTAATCCAAAGCTCTCTGTAGTCAGTGGGAGTTGTTCCATTGACTTGGGCTTTGGATCAGTCTCTAAAATAATAGTTATAGAGCTTGTTTGGATAAATGATTGTAATTAAATTCCTGCAGGGCCTCATGGTGGTGTTTCAGAGTGTTACCCATGTTATGTGACTTTTTCACCACACTTGTGGCCATGTTATCTGAAAATGAATTAATGAACAGCCAGTTGCAGGATAATAGCTAACTTGAATGAGGTGCCCTTTATTAGCCATTTCTAAAACTGCTGAAGACTTAGACCAGAGGTTCTCAAACTTTATTGCACCATGACCCCTTTCTGACAACAAAAATTACTACAGGACCCCAGGAGGGGGGACCGAAGCCTGAGCCCGCCAAAGCCCCGCCACCCTGGAAGGGGGGAGGGCAAACCAAAGCCCCACCTCCCCAGGCTGGGTGGCCAAAGCCGAAGACCAAGAGCTTCAGCCCCAGGCAGGGAGCCTATGACCCGAGCCCTGCCACCTAGGGCTGAAGCCCTTGGGCTTCAGCTTTGGCCCCAGCAAGTCTAAGCCAGCCCTGGTGACCCCATTAAAATGGGTTCTGACCCACTTTGGGGTCTGACCTACAGTTTGAGAGCAGCTGTCTTAGACTAAATCACTGTATAGAAAAACCTGAGCAACTTTGTTTTTATGAGTCGTCTTATTGATCTTAAGAGACTAGTCAAATGAGTGAAGTTATGTGTGTAGGATGATTGCAGATTCAGGCCCTAAATTACAAGTTGCACCCTATTTGTGTTGTCACTTGTGCGATTTCAATGTTTTTAATAATACTTTGCCTTTTTGAGTAGTTACAAAAAAATCCTTAGTAGGTGAAAGCCAAACTTTTTTGCTAGTGAGACAGAAATTTTAGTTGCCTTATAAACAGATAAGATGTGAAATTATCTCCTTAATATCTTAGTGCTGACATGTGGCAAATGTTTTATAATATGAGTATTATGACAGCAGGGATGTCAGTGCTTGTATAAGTATCTTTTGTAACTGCACACAGGTGCACTGGAGGATTTTCAGCAAATGACACTCTTAAGGAAACAAACAGCTCATGGAGGGTAGTTTTACTAAATTTAAAAAAATTAAAACTTGATCCTCAAATCAGGCGCCTCTGAGGGAAGGGGAAAAGATTTAGAAAGAACGAAGTTTATAAGTAATAAAAACATTTACTGCTTTGTGTGTTTATTTAATAATTTGATCAGTTTATTTATAAATCAGGAAATTCATAGATTCCAAATCCAGAAGGGACCATTGTGATTATCTAGTCTGACCTCCTGTAAAACACAGTCCATAACCCTTTTGGTCACCTTGGGAATCGTAACTTTGCCACATTATAACACTTATGAGGACAATAAAAGTGGATAAAAGATTGTAAAAGAAGTGTAAATGGTGGTGAGCTACAATTGTTACAGGACTTGTAATTTTGAATTCCCTCACTCTTGTATGTTTACAAGCACTGTGATGTTAGTTTTTTGCAAATAAATTAGTTGTCTTCTCTTGAGCTGACTTGGTGTAATAATACCTGTTCATGCATGAAGAAGAACATTGACTGGTTTTGAGTTCTTTCAGTCTCTTTGTGGCAACACATCTCAAAACAAATGTGTTGGAGAGAAGATTTGTACTTAATTTTATTATTTTATTTAACACATATGAAAGTGAAGGATTAACAGAGCTCAAATATACGCTTAGTGCAATTTCATATGCTATATATGGGGCTTTCTTCACTGGATCCTAGACCCAAGTTTAAAAAATGCATATCCAAGTGTATGTGAAAGTATCTGATGCCTATGAGATTTGTTTGTGTGCACAACCTTAACTTGTGCATGCCCATCTGGTGTTTGCATGTATATGCTGTGCATGTACACCTGAATTAGTGCACTTTTAAAAATTTGTGCCACAGTCATGATGAACTGTGCCAAACTGGGAGTGTGGATGTGTATGTATTATGTAGAGAAGTATCCACCAGTTGCTGGGATGACACCTTCCACATGCATTTTTATCACATGGAACCATATCAAAATTTGAACTTGTTTCAGATGCAAAAAGCTAACCTGCTACTTAACATATTAATAACAGCTTGAACCTTGTTTGTAAGAAAAGCAAGTCTGCTACCAAGAGTTTTAAATTTTGTACACTATTGTCATTCAAGGAACAACAGTTAAAAAAGATCAAAGCAAAACAAAAGCGTCTCCAAGCAGTTCTTGGTGGAGCAGAGACTCTCATTGGAACAAATGATGTTGAATTTCAGGATGATGAAGGTGAGGGAAAAAGCCATTGCAAATCTTTTTTTGCATTTCTGTCATTTCTATGTAATGCCTTTTGTTGTTTGAAGCTCATTGCCAAGATCTTTGCCAGTGAACATGAGTAAATAAATTTCAGTGGTTTGTTTTCAAAGAGTGATTTTAGGAACACTTAATTCTCTGCACCTGCAGAATTGCAGATCTCAGAGTATCCATATGGGGATTTTTAAAGACTGAAAGTAGATCTGTGCTTAGTTCAGTAGGGAGGACTGATGCACATTAGAGTATTGGGCTTAATAAATTGGAAATCTTAACATTTTTCACAGCTAATGTGATAAAGCCTAGCGTAATGATTGAATTACATTTTATAATCAGCCATCAATCAGTACTCACAAAATTGGTTTTTCGTATCTTGGTAAGAAACACTTGTTAGAAATTTAAAAAACAATTTGTTGTACGAGCTGTACAGTGTGAGAACAACAGTTTCTTATGGAATACTATGATAATTGTCTCAATGTTTCCAAGATCAAATCTAACTGAGCATGTTTTGTTTTGTTTTTTTCTTACTGCCTTCTGCAAACCCAGCATGAGTTCTTAGAGTCAAGCTGGTATCTTTCTGTCTTATACATCATCACTAGTAATCAAAATTCTGAAGGCCAAAATAGGTACTCATTGATATCTGTGCAACCCCATTAGAGTTCAGTTAGGGTTACCATATGTCCGGTTTTTCCCGGACATGTCCGGCTTTTCGGCAATCAAACCCCCGTCCGGGGGGAATTGCCAAAAAGCCGCACATGTCCGGGGAAAATGCCGGCCGGGCACTTCCCCTCCCGCAGCTGCTCAGCTCCTCCCCTGACTCTTCGGCTCTGTTAAGAGCTGAGCCGCCCGAGCGCTATGGGCTTCAGGCAGCCCTCTTGCCTCCGGACCCCAGCCGCCGGCCGGGCACTTCCCCTCCCAGCCGCGGC